GGGCCTTTAAGAAAGTATCCAAGCTCATTAGTTAAGAATTAGTTATATATTGATGTTTATGGTGGGTTTTTTTATGTTGATTGTGATTTGTAATTTGGGGAATTAGGAGAGAAAATAGGGAAGCTCTCAAGGCTAGGTTTTTATTACTTTTCTGCAATTTAATTGATTTCTATCAATACCATCAGTTTCTGTTTTGGGATCCATCAGTCTGCAACACTCTGCAGGCAGCAAACAAGGTCACCTATTGTACTGCCTCTCCCATTGATTCTTCCTTTCTTTCTTTTTCTAAGGTCAACCATTGAGGTGCTGTCAAACATAAAGAGGAAACCAGATTCATGCTGGGGGAAAAATCCCAGTAAAAAATGAAATGACTAAATAGCAGCAACTGCGACAATAAGAATAAAAACCAAGCATTTCTCCCAGTGTCTGCTAGAGAGAAGTTGAGTCCAAGAGATTAAGAAAAGAAATAGGACCTGGATAAAATCAGACTTAGGAACATCAAACACTACAGTTATAGTTATTTACAAACCTATGTTATCAAATAGAAACAGAGAGTACTCCACATGCTGGCTTTTAACTCCCAAGGTGACATCCATTTTCTTAAGTATGAGTAAGATCCAACTGCTATTAGTTCATCACTACACAAATCTTTTATGGGCTAACCAAAATAAAACATAGGTAGCCATGCCTAGTAGTTCCCGGCATCTGCTTTACAATATATGACATGCTCACACTTGCAGAATTGTCAACCATATATTCTTTTAGAACCAAAAAAAAAGATTAGCTTGAAGGAGTTTGTAGATTTCATGAACAGCCACATGGTACTTTTTTGCTTTAAATCAGTCTTCAAAACAATGTTATCCAACAATTTTTTCGTTAATTCTTAAAAATTTCTACACAAAACAGTTTCGAAAAACAGAAAAAACAAAACAAAACACAATCAAATAGACCCTAAGTTTTTGGAGTATTATTTACGGCATGATATCAAGAGCTTCTATGGCCAAGTGATTGTTGTCACTCTCGTTCTTCTAAACAAAAGTGAAATTTAAGCATAACTAAACATTGAAAGAGAAAATTATTGAGAAAAATTTGTGCATGGACTGCACACTTTGTCTCTTGGGTACAGCTTGGTTACAATCCATGGAATGAGTAATAAAGGGGTTAATTAGGAGTTAATTAGAAGCTACATTACAGCCTAAAAATAAGTAGCTAACTTTTAGCCTCATTACTAGCTAAAAGTTGACAATAAATAAATGACAATATCAAAACATAACAGAAACTGTTTATTTCATCACAAGGACTAAAACTGGATTTAAACCACATGAGCATGACAAAGATATCAAGGATAGAAAACACAAGATTTTAGACAGGAAAACCTTAGTCCTGTGTCCACATGATTGTAGAAGTATATAGTATTATACTATGCTTAGACACTCAAATCATGAGCCAACTAAACAAAAGGACCAAACTGAAGTGGATTACCACTTTGAGTTAAGAGTTTTCTATATTATAGATTCTCTAGACAGCAACCCAGTATAGCATGTTCATGAACCAGCCATCTCAAAAAGTTAGCTTAGCTTAGAAAGTGGACTCATAATGTTCAATACATTTAAGACACTACAGTAATTGCGGCTCCTCTATGAGCAGCACTTCAAAAATCTTAATATTTCAATTTTATTCACACAACAATAACTGCAGAACAAAAAAACATAGAACAAATGCATGATTAATTCCATACAAGAACAATGGCATATTATGTATTCACAGTACAACTTTTTCGGAATAAATGAAGAATTCAATTATCGACTAAAGGAGTATATAGGTGGAGGAAGAAATATCCTCTTAATAAAGGAAAAAAGAAAAGAAAAGAAACAGCAAAGAAAGAAAAATAACAGCTCAAAAGGGCAAACACAATCTCTTTGCATAACACAGAAGAGCTCTACAATCTCTCTGCATATCTACCAAGAAAATTCTTTTGAAAAAAAAAAAATGCTAAACACCAGGCTACTAGAGAAGCCATGAAACAGCTTTTCACCATAACAGGTCGTAGGACAGAAGTTTCCCATAAAATCTGAGCATTTTCCCCTCCAAACAAAGTACGATGCACAATATCACAAAACTTAGTCCTCAAACTCCTAACAAAACATTTAAATCTATATATATATATATATATATATTGCTATAATCCCAGAACACACAGCATAGATTGCTACACCAAATCTAACTGCCTTCTGTGCATGTAAAAGTAACTGGAGACTTTTCTGTATTAGAAACACATCACACAACTATTAGGAGATATAGCAATTATGGGTCTATAAATATGCAATATATCATTATTAATAATCATAGTCCCTGTTCAAATATAAGACATGAGCATAGATGGAATTTTGGACTTCCAAAGGAGTTTTTCAGAAAGAATCTCTGCCTATTAAAGGAAAGAGTGAGAAATGGATGTTGAACTTCGAAGAAAACTTGCCAATAGTCTGAGAATAAATTGACAAGACTCCAATGTTAGCATATGAACTATATGAAAATAAATCTCCCCACCTACAAGAATCTACCTAGAAAAGAAATACTTCACACATATAGCTATAATTTCATTTTTTTAAGGTAACACTAAAATTTTAGAAATCAAGCACAGAAAATTACTAGCCCAATAAAAACACTTCCATTATTATCATTTGTTTAGGGATCAGATTACCCTTATCCAGGCTATTCTCTCCACCATTCCCCTCTACTAGTTATCATTGTTCCATATCCCTGTGGGAGTTACCCAAACAATAGAAAAGATTATGATATATTTTCTTTAGTCTAGTGTTACAGATATGAGAATTGATCATTTGGTGAGTTGGGAGGTATGTTACTTCCCATTAAATCTCGACTAACGAGGGTGGGGTGAGGGCAAACTCTTTGTACGCAGTCTTACCCTTGCGTAATTGCAAGGAAGCTGTTTGGGAGGTATGTTATTGTCCTAAGAAAAAACAGGGTTTCGGTTTTGATAATTTGGTGTCTAAAAACATGCTCTCGTGAGTAAAAGGTTTGGGCATTTTCCTTTGAAACTCATTCCCTTCAGCATTAGCCATCAGGTTATCAGAAATAAGCATGGCCATCTCTGAATAGAGCTACTTTCCTTATTGATCAAATCCTTTGGAAGTTAAAAGCTCCCTCTAACCAACAACAATTGGTTCAAGTGGTAAGGAGCTTGTTCCTTTAATCAAAGGTCCTGAGTTTGAGCCCAGCGAATAAAGAAAATAGTCTTGGGAGAGATGCCCCCTATAATTGATTCAACAATGCTCGAACCAAACTAATCGGATAATCAATGAACCGTTGGATATATCAAAATAAAAAAAAAAACAAAAGCTCTCTCTAAGGTCAAGTCTTTTATTTGGAATGCTGTGCTTAACAAAATTAAATCTAGCTATACATGTTGTAGGTTGGTAGGTTGCATAAGGCTCTTTCCCCTTATTCGTGTTTGTGTGTGGTTCTTTACTCAAAATCAGTTCCACATCAATTCTTACACTATTCTTCTTTGTTTGGCCTTTATGGTGAATGTTGTTTAGTGTTCCCAAGGTCTGGGGATTAATTTTTGATTGAGTAAATACCCTTTTTGGTCCCTAACAAAAAACACGGTCCCCACTTTAGTCCCTTACAAAAATAAATTAGTCAGTTAGTGCCTAACAAATTCAAAGTGGACCCATTTAGTTGAAATCGTAGTCCCTCACAAATTCAAAAAAGACCCATATTAGTCTCTCAAAAGGACTAAAATGGGTCCACTTTGAATTTGTTAGGGATTAACTGACTAATTTATTTTTGTAAGGGACTAAAGTGGGGACCGTGTTTTTTGTTAGGGACCAGAAAGGGTGTTTACTCTTTTTTATTATTAGCTTTCATGGCTTTGGTAGAAGTAAAGAGGCAAAATATATGTACAATGTGCAATCTAAGCTATAGTATGGTGCATTTGATTGGACTGTAACCCTTGTATTTTTAAGGAGGTTTCTATGGCACAATAGTTCATCTGGGATAAGATTAAGCTTTTGGCCTCTAATTGGTGTAAACCTTATGGCCTTTATAAGGGGTTTCCCTAACATATATGTTGAGGGATTGTGCTTTATTTCTTCTTTGCTCTTTTGTGTTCTGCTTTTATGTAAAGGAATATTACTTATCCTCCAAATTCATTGTAATATTTTCTCTTCATCTGAACGATTTTTTTCTATTATGAAAAAAATATCATGTTTTGAAAAGAGATAGATAAAACTACATGAAGCTCTTAAGCTACAACTACAACCAATATCTATGATTTTTTTTATATATATGGCAGGTATGAAAGTTCAGTGCATCAATGATTTCAAGATTTGAAAAGTAATTCTTACATTGTTCTACTGCTGCTCTAAGGAAATGTTTGTTTGGCCTTTCAGGAGAAAGTTGGATGTGTCCTAAGTCGTTGGACCAGTGTTTTATGACTAGTTTTACTGGTTTTAATACAAGTAAAGAAGCCAACTACACTTTGTTGCATTTGGGTGGAGCATAACTCTGGCAATTTTATTTTATTTTTTTGTGTTTTCCAACTAGTTCATTGATTACTCAACTAGTCCAATTCGAGTACCGTTGCACCTAGGGCTCAGATTCGAGATCTCTGATTAAAAGGAACAAACTCTAACAATTTTTATAATATCTCTTCAGATAGCAGCTGCTTTGGCATTAGGCATTTGGCTTCAATAAGGTGATAGCATACGGTCTTTTTCTTGCAGACGTGCTAAGGGAGTGGGTAGCTTTGCTACATTGATGGCTATTTTTCCTTCTTGTATATATTTTTTTCTCATCTTTTATCCTCCTTTCCCTTTATATTCTTCTTCTCTTAGTCTTAAAAAATTTATTTTATCAGAAAAGTTAAATAAATGACAGGAATATAAAACATACACAACTGCTAGATAAAGGTCCTGACAGACAACATATAACATAAGAAATTCAATATTCCAAAACAAAAGATTAAAGGGATTTCAAACACCCAGTATTTAAATATAGGCAACAGAGAATAAAACCCTATTTAGTAATCTTTGTGCACCACCTACTGGAATTTGCAAATTCCAAAATCTAAACAGTACTAAAGGGGTTGATTCTTTCCTAAGTTTCCCCATCAAAAATTGTATAACTTCAACTAAACAAACCATGCATGTAATGCCACTGCCAAAAAGCTTGCAAGACTGCCAACCTAGTTAGAGCCAGGGCCAATTTCCTTCCGCTTTAGTTCTAAAGCAATACGCTCGTTGTCAAGCTTCATTCTTTTGTTCTCCAGCTTCAGCTTCTCCAACTCACGGTCTTTTTTCTTACTAAACTTCTCCCACTTGAATCTTTGTTTCTCTAGTTCCAACATCTCAACCTGAAGTTGTAGCTTCTGTTCTTCTAACTGAAGTGCGCGAGATTCAACCCATTGCTTCTGTAACCAAGCTGCTCTCATGCTTTCAGGTAAAGCTTGATTAGCATCAGATTGGACCGTCTGTCCTTGAGGATATGAACTTTTGTTGTACTCCTGATTATTCAAAGAATTTCCAAAAGTAGTAGCATCTTCTTGGCCTTGCCCTTGTTTTAATCTCTTCATAGATCCCCCTAATGCCCCATAGATTCCTCTACCATCTCCATGGGAAGCATAATTCTCTTCAAAGTCATCATGATCATCAGTTTCCCCATCTTGATCATCTTCATCGTGATCATCATTATAGGACCTTCTGCTATCATCATTATCATAATCATCTCTACTTCGGAGAGCTAACTGCAGTGAACGCTGCAATGCAGGATCATGGGGTAAATGCAATCTATTACCATTATGATAAGAACACATCTCTTCATAGAAGAGGTGTTTTGAGCTTAATATTTTTCGAACATCATCCTTTTCTTTCTCAGAAAGATAATCTATTACATCCAACAGAGCAGGATTTTCAACAACCTGACAAGAAGTGCCCCTCCCAAGCATATCATTAAGCCTTTTGTACCTTTTATTAAGATCATTGAATTTATCCTCACACTGCTGAGGCGAAACATTGTAACCTCTTTCGGCCATGACCTTGGAAACAGATTTCCACTTACCCTTTTTCTGTAGGACTACAAATTTTCTTCTTCCACCACCACCACCATCAGAAGTTGCGTCCTCGCCTATATAAGAAACAGCTGTTATCATAAGCCTCACCATCTTATCAGTCCACTTCACCCGCTGCCAAGGTGACTTCTTTTTCCCTCTACCTGATTCATGATGACCATCAAAACCTTCCTCATCATCTTCCTCACTTGCTGAGTTTTTGTTCCTATCTCCCTGACTAAACTCTTTCATTGACTGATCACAGTTCTGCAAGGTTCCCACTGTAAGCGGAAAACCATCACGAATTGAGGAATGCACTGAAGACCCTTGGCAAGGATGGTGAGTTTGATGTTGGTTCATGTTATGTGGATGTTGTGCTTGAGGATGAACCCGCATTGATCCTGGCAAATCAAAACCACCAAAAGAAGCCCCACTTTGAATTATACCTCCCTGTGATAAATTCCCTTCCATTGCTTCTCACAAACAACAAAACAGATTAGAACAATGAACACATTCCACCTCAAACGCTGCTAGTTCATACACATTTTTAAGTCCTTTTCACCAAACCTACAGATTAAAAAAAAAAAAAAAAACCAATGTATGTTCAATCTTCCAACACCTTTTTCAATCCCACCTAATATCCCTCTTGATCTTCAAAGTGAAAACAGCCCCCAAAATCAAACCAGAACCCTTCTCCAAAACAACATTTCAGATACCTATTCTCCCAACCAACATACAAAAAAATCACAACCCAACAGAGGGACCAACAATACTGCCAAATAAAAAATACCCAGCAGCAAAACAAAATGTTCAACCAAGATTCATAACAACAAAGCAAAAACCTTTCATCAGAGGGTCATAAGTGAGGAAGTTCAGCTACTTATCTGATGGAAATCTGCACAGAATCACACACCCCCAGAAGCCAAGATTGGACCTTTTTCTCGAAATCAAGCCGAGATTCCAGAGAAAAAGTTCACGAGAAACACATCCTATGTAACTCAGGAGGAGTGCAAGAAGTGCCACAACGAAACAGACAAAAGAAGCAAAGTGAAGCACTCAAGACAAAAGGCGAGTTTGCGTTGAAAACGTAATTGGGCTTATATATATAGACAAGATGCTTAGGACAGCAAAGGGAAGAACCTTAACTGGTTCAATGTATGAATACATCATGTGGGCCAATGCAAATAATTTATTTTTTTTTTTTTTTTTTGATAACAATAATTTATTCTTTCAGGGGAAAAGAATGGTTTACTCCAGAATCACTCATGTCCCAGTGGTTTTTTTCTTATCACATATGCATCTGTGGTTTGTAAAAGGGTATGTTTTTTATCACATATGCCCCTGTGGTTTCTTAGTTTTTATAAAGCACAGGGGCATATGTGATCGAAAAAAACCACGGGGTCATGAGTGATTCTGCAGTAAACCATTGGGAAATTTCTCTTCGGATCTACACTTTTAAAATTTTTCTTCTCACTTTTTTTTCATAATCTATCTCTTTCTATCACTTAAAATAACACAATCTCACTTTTTCTTCCATAATCTATCATTTCTCTCACTTAAAATAACACAATTTTATATACTTTAACATGATACACATTTTTCTCTTCTTCTTTTTGAAAATATTTCAATCGGTTCATCTCTTCGCGACTAGTCTGATTCGGGATGAATACTGAAAAGAATCAAACACATGATCCCACCCCAGTTACTCAACTCCTATGCGCCAACTGAATTACCACATTTTCGTATACACACTGTTCTCTTGTTTCAGTCACATTAAAGGAGCATTTATAAAAATTAAATTTTTCCTTTAATGATATGAAATTTCCTACTTAAATGATTCTGTATAATATGTATTAACTGCCAATGAGAGAAAATGAGACAGAAACTCATAAAATGATGGATCTCACTCCTTAATTTTTATTTTATTTTTTCCTCAAAGGAGAAATCATTTTCCGTTAAGATAATCTAAATATGTTATAAATGAGTTTAAAGAGTGCTAATTCTTAAAATAAAATGGTATTGGTTATGTTAAATTATTCACGACCTTGACCTATCCACAACTTTGACATATCCAAATGCTAATGTTGGATTGGGCATTCACTAAGTCAAAAGTAATAACTGTTAATCAAGAAGTAACTCTTTTTATTTACCCTTGTTAGAGTTGAGGTCATGGATTTGATTTCCTGAATACAAAGTTAGATTAAACATATGAGGCTCTAATAGAAGTAAATAAAAAGAGTTGCATCCTGACTAACAATTATTATTTTTGGCCTAGTGATAAGCTCGATTATGTCTTGGCAAGGTCTAGTGTAGGATCAGAGAATTATGGTGATTGAATTAGTAAAGATAAATAGAAATAGTTGTTCCTTTATTATCTGCTATAGCTTTAAAGTTTTTGAATTTAATTTCATTTGATAGTTATTCATTGATATTATATGTGATTATTATTTGTGTTTTTATTGACGTTTGTGATATATATATATATATATATATCACAATCTTATAGTTAGATAATCTAAGAAGCATGGATATAAATACGAGTCACGTCAAATGCTAAAAGTTATAAGACAGTTATGGCTAAGATATAACACACAATGTACTAAAAAAAAAAGATATAGCACATAAAATTATTATTGCAAGTAATTTATTATTTTTTCCCAGTAAATGAAGGACCATTGATAAAAATTAAATCTTTCGTTAAATGATCTTAAATTTACTTTTCAAGTGCTTCTGCATCATATTGGTCTAACTAAAAGAAATTAATTTTTTCCTTAAGTGCCATCTTAAATTTCCAGTCCACACAATCAAAAGATTAAAGATATCTCTTTAATTATTATTGAACTTTATTTTCAATTAAATGTTTTAAGGCATAAAAGGTTAATTATTAGCTAACTTTAATTATAACTAAAAAATGCGTATACTTGAAAATAATTATCGTCCCAATATTCCATACCTATTATACTGGATACTTGTTTTAATATTTTTAGATAAAAGTGTGTGTCATTTTAAAGAATGTAAAATTGTGTCATTTTAAGTGAGAGAAATAAATAGATAAAAGGAAGAGAGAGTGGACAAAAAAAATAAAGGTGTGAGCCTCACCTCTTTATGAGAGTGAAATGACACAAGTTGTATCATTTAAAACGAAAAATATTTTTTTCCATATTTTTAATATCTAAAAAGTAATTAAAAGATTAAATTAGAAGTATTCAAAAATACTAAAAAAAAAATCCAGTACAATACGATAAATATTTTGAAGCATGTGCATTTTTTAGTATGTAAACTTGTATTCCTTAAAAAAATTATTGCAAATAAAGTTAAATAACAATTAAATAAATATCCTTGATCTTTTGATTTTGCAGATTCGAAATTTAAGATAGCATTTAAAAAAACTCAATTTCTTCAGATATATACACCAATATGATGCAGAAGAACTTAAGTGAATTTAAGATCATTTAAAGAAATATTTATTTATTTTATTTTTGGTAAAAAGGAAATATTCTTTTTACTAATGCTCTTCATTTACTGTGAAAAAAAAATTATTTGCAATGTTAATTTTATATGTTATATCTTAGCCATATATGGCTTATAACTGTTAGAATTTACCGAGTCTCATATATATCCTAGATTGTCTAACTATAAGATACATCTCAAACTTTGATAGAAACACAATAACTTACATAATATCAATGAATAACTATCAAAAGAAATTGTATCCACAACTTTAATATTACCATTTAATCATAGTAATTAAGCTAACACTTTTTAACTTATTTAAAACATAGGTAGATTATTTACCTAAAAAAAAGCATATTTAGATTAACTTATTTTACGTCAAATTTTGACAACTTTTTAATATAGTATTTAAAATTGAAATATGTGTACGACAAAAGGGGAAAGTATATCTGCTTCTATGATAGAGTAAAGTTATCTGACGCAGACACATCTTCGCCAGGATCCGCATAGCTTTATCTGTCGTTGCGGCAGATCCGAGGGACCCACATAAATATGGTATTACTTTAAAGGTTATTGGTAATGGTTTTATTCGCATTTAATGAAAGCATAATAAATAAAGTGCATTAGAAAGCAAATAAGAGCTCTATTTAGACCGGTACTAAACCTTGGTTGAAAACTGACTCAGCTTGGCCCCCTCTGGTAGAAGATGATTTATTTTGGTTAAATTCTTCCATTAATAGTAAGGAGATTAAAGAGGCCTTTTTCACAATGGGCCCCTTAAAAGCTCCTGGTGAAGATGGCTTTTTGGAGATTTTTTCCAAAAAAATTGGCACATGTTAGGCGATCAGATTTGCAGGGATATAGCTGTTTAGTGGAGCCACCTAGGAACTATTTGAACTCTAAATAAAACTCTTCTGGTCCTGATACCTAAGACTGCCAAAGCCCGAGAAATTAGCTCAATTCAGGCCAATTTCACTTTGCTCTATTTTATATAAAGGCATTAAGAAGCTTATTATTAATAGACTAAAGCTAGTTCTTCAAAAGCTTATTTCTCCGTATTAGGTCATCTTTGTCCTAATAGGCATATTCAAGACAATATAATTGTTGTCTAGGATGGTGTTCATTCCATGAGGAGAATAAAAGGGGCCAGAGGTTTTATGGCTTTCAAAACAGACTTGGAAAAGGCTATGATAAACTAAATTAGAACTTTGTGGAGTTGGTGATTACTGAGATAGGTTTACTGGCTGGTTTGATAAATATAATTTCGATGGCCAAGTTGCATGTGCAATTTGGATCTTAGATGGTTTGATCTTGGGTTTATGCATTTCTTCAAGGTTTGTTGTTGGAGGTTTTAGTTCCTTCGGTTTTCGTTGAATTTGTCCAGATGGTGTCCTTCAAGGGATATGTATAGAGGTTTAGTCCTAATATTTTTCCCAAGGTTCATTTAGAGTGTGCCCTTCTTAATGGATTATGTTTGAAGGTTGTGTTCCTCAAATTTCGATCTAGGTTTGTCTAGTGTATCCCTTTCTTCGAGAATTATGTCTGATGGTTTGTTGTAAGGATTGGGTTGTAATTCAAGTCCTTATATTTTGAAACAAGGAGACATTTTGTTGTCTTTTGAGTTGTTTGTCGTGTTTAATGACTTGACTATTAATTTCTTTTAGTAGTTGAAATGGACACATTATTAGTATAGGTGTCCTAAAAACAATCAGATTGGTCAGATAACACTATGTTCTTTGTCATTTTTCATAAATAATATTTGAGCATTAATTTATATATTATCATCTCTCCCTGTTTGGATGCATTTTAATGGATGAAGGCCCTTAGGATAATCAAGTTGTATCCCGATGATATATAATGAGATAATGATCATGAAGACTCGAATACATTATTTGATTATATGCTAAATTAGTTCCTAGTCTAGAGTCACCGAGATAGGGCATTAGTTGACTAAATTAGACTAGCATGATATCAAGTTACATACATAGTGATATAAGGTACGAAATTGACCCGCCAAGATATGAATCCTTACAACATGTATCATTGGATATAGTCTCTTATCATTTGGTAGTGCAGATCATCTTTAGACTTGAGGTTGTCATCAAATACTTTTAGGCATGACTTGAGGGATGAGTATAGATGGACAAGTCGAAAGGATTCATCATCCCTATAAGATGTAAGTTATCCATAAAAGACTGATAGAACTCAAATGACTTATATAAAACTCATAAATATATGCACGGTAAAGGGATCATGAAGGTGTTCATAGATCCATTTTTGGAGTTTATAGAAGAAGATTCCTAGTTTGGGAAAAAATTTCTTTCGATCACTAAAGAGTTAATATGGTATCCTTGCTCTTAACTGATACGTGGTTAATAGGATAAAAGAATGGATCGCCACGACAACCAAATGTGGAAGGTAGATCACTTTATCTTCCATTTATTTATGGGGCCACGAAGTAATGCTAGTACTCTATATGGTTATTAAATGAGTTGAGCTTATTAAAGAAGTTTAATTCGATCACACACCAATTTTATGTTTAATGATATGGACTAGCATATGATTTTAGACCTATGTTATATAGTATGGATCTTA